AAAAAAAAAAAATGATAAATAACCATTGGAAATTATTACTTTAGCCCACAATAGACAAACAATGATTATTATAGTCTCGAATCTGAAATCTATGAACAACTATAATAATTAAAGTTATCAGTTTCTATTTCTTACTTTTATTTTATACATAATTCTTAACAACTAAATGAATGAAATTATTTTTGTTTTAGTTGTTTTAAAAAAATTGTTGAATCATGTGAGTTCCATTTTTTTACATAACAATTAAAATGATACAAAAATTAAATGATTGATTGATGGAAAATTGAAATCACCCCTACGTTGTGAAATGTTAAACAAAAGCTAATTTGAAAAAATTACTGCTCACCTTTTTTTTCTCATAGCTACTTATTCATTCATACCTAAAAATTAATTTCCTAAAAAACGATTGAACACAACTCCATTACGTTTTTGTAACGTGTTAAGACAACAAAAAACATACAATTCAATGGGTGGTAATTGCGTCAAATGAAAATATAAAAATTGTAATTTTGAAAAACCAGTAAAACTCTGGAAACACCAGATATTCGTGTAAATGTACACAAAAATGATATAATATACGAATGTTTATCATTTAGCACAATAATTATTATTAATATGCTGCCCAGCCTGTCCACCTAAAAGTATACTTGTTTCACCTATACACGGCCTACGTAGAAAAAAAAAAAAAAAAAAAAAAAAAAAAGATGAGCGACAGCATCCTCAGCGAGGCGTCATCGTCGTCGTCATCGGCAGCCACTGGTAATTGCGCCTCATGCGGGGGCCCAGCCGCGACCCGGTGCGCCGACTGCAAGCTCGTGTTCTACTGCACGAAGGAGCACCAGCGCTCGCACTGGCCGAGCCACAAGTCCGCCTGTAGGGCTTACGAGGTGCGGGATAACGAGGAGCTCGGCCGTCACCTCGTGGCAACGCGCGACCTCGACGCCGACGACCTCATCCTCTCGGAGCTGCCGATCGTCTGGGGCCCGAGTTACCACGCCGAGTCGAGCGTATGCGTCGGCTGTGGTATCAAGGATGTCTTCATGCGTTGTCCCGGGTGCAAGTGGCCCGCCTGCAAGATCACCTGCCCTGGACTGGCCGACGACGAGAGGCACAAGTTCGAGTGCAAGATCCTAGCCGCGGCTCGGCTTTTGCCAAGGTTGCCGTTTATTCATTTCTTTTTTTTTTTATTTTTTTTTTTTTTTTCATTACTCCTAATAACATATTTAACGTAATGTAAGAAAAAATTGATTTGGTATATACGTGGAATCTAAACAATCATGCATTTCGTCAAGTGACAAATGTTTTATTCTAAAACATCAGTGTGAAAGTAGTAGCTTTTTTTTTCAATTGATCAATTTTTATTGTTTGTCATTTGATCGTGATTCATTACATATCACGACAATCACAAAGAAAATGAGTTGTTAAAAGTATAAAACAAAATACAATCATTTTTAGACTATGATTGATTTGCTGATGCAAAATGCCACTTTTTAAATTTTTTCTCGATTGTTGACTTGGTTTGAGGGACCCTTCAAAACGTATATTTAATTTTTGCCTCATATTTGAATATTTTACAACAGAAGGGAAGAAGAAAGCCATTATTATTCATTATTATTGAAATGAATTGGGGCCCGAAAACTTGTGCCGAATTTCGGAATAATTTAATGAAATTCGAAGTTGTACATTTTTTAAATAACGGTGAAAAAAAGTCAGCCGACCCCACTTTCCTCGACTCGTATAACGTAATAAAAAAAAAGTCCCATGCAAAATCCGCTTAGGTGCGAGAACCTGTTGATATTGCGAGCCCTCATACTGCAACGGCGGAACCCGAAGCGCTGGAAAACCCTGACGAAGCTCGAGAGCCACGAGGAGAAGCGCGGCCCGGGGACGGACGCGTACGAGGAGATGCGCCTCGTGGCCGAGTACTTCGGGCCCATGCTGGCGCTCGACGCCGGCGCCTCGGAGGTCCTGGCCAAGGTGTGCGGCCTCGTCGACGTCAACGCCCTGGAGACCAACCCGCCCGAGGGCTCGGCCGCCATATACGAGGTCGCCTGCCTACTGGAGCACCGCTGCATCGCCAATACCAGGCACACCTTCGTCGTCGACGAACACGGCAGGCCGAGGATCAAGGTCATCGCCGTCAAGCCCATCAAAAAGTGCGCATGATTTTATACCTATCGATTTTTTTCTTTCTCCTCCCCCCCCCTCCTCGCAGTTGTAACCACAATAATGAGCAGTAGCGTGTTTGTTTTTTTTACTCGTACACCCGAGAACAAAGTGCAGGGTACAAAAACGCAAATGAATTTTGTTTGATCAATTTTTCAGTAAACGTAAGATCGGCCCGTAAAATGCTCTTTCCACCTTTGATCGGAATACAAAGAAAAAGAAAGAAAAAAAAAAACTGTTTTTTTTTTTTTTTTTTTTTTCTAGAGGCGAGCACCTGAGCACAACGTACACCCACGCGCTGTGGTCGACGCGTAGCCGGAGGGAGCACCTACGGGCAACCAAGTACTTTGCGTGCAAGTGCGAGCGTTGCTCCGACCGCACGGAGCTGGGCAGCCACATGGGCAGCTTGAAGTGCCCCTGCGGCAACGGCTGGATGACCCCGGAGGAGCCCCTCGCCGAGAACAGCGAGTGGTCGTGCGACAAGTGTCCCGGGGTCCTCAGCACGAAGGAGGTGGCCCAACTCTTCGACAGACTCGGCGAGGAGGTCGAAGCAGCCATGAGCGGCCCCGACACCGAGATCCTTACCGATCTTCTGTTCAGGTACTTATATCATATAATAGCAAGCTCAACAACAACCAATCCTATATGTGACTCGGGTGATTTTCAGGCTCGAAGTGCTGCTGCACCCGTGCCACCAGCACTGCATCACGGTGAGCCACACGCTACTGCAGATGCTCGAGCCCGATGATCCGAAGAAGGCAGAGCTCTGCCAGCGCATGATCGACCTGTTCGAGATCGTCGACCCGTACGGGGCACGTTTGGCCATTTACCAAGTGATCGCCTTAAGAGAGCTGTCCCTGTGCCCCGATCAGGACAGAAAGGCCCTGCTGACAAGGGCCATGGAGATATTGCGCTACGAGCCGCCAAAGAGCCCGGGTGCGGTTCTCTCGAATATCATTCTCCAGGAGGTCTAACGGGGTCTTGATTCGTTGTTGTTTTTTCCTCATACCGATCGTATGCCACAGTGGGTTATTTTACGGCAGGGTGCTTTTGTCACTACATTAATGATATACCATTCAGACTTGGGCATATAGATACTTTTTCTGCAAAATTTTTCACGAGATTGTATTGTTATTAGTGACGAATTAAAAAAAAAAACGTATTTCATTAAAGATTAAAAATTTCCGTTCAAAGTGTTAGAGTAACACTATTGTGTTCAAGTCTGCGATTCTAAAATCTATATTGTCCTCCATATGGGCGGGAAAAAAACACACGTCCCGTCGTTTTTCGCCTTCAAGGAAATATCGACGGGCGGTCCGTGCCGATTTTGGTATAGACGAATCGAGAAAACAAACGGAAATGATTGGACAAACGATTTTGAGACGCAACAACATATTATAGTTGTTTACTTAACTTATATTTTAGTGAAAGCTTGAACAACAACGTATAGTAAATACGTAGGTAAATAAAAAGAATCATCAAACAAGAAACTTGGTACGATTCAAAAAGTCTTCAATAGAGCGTACTCAGCAAAATTGTCGAAACTTGAAGTATTTCTAATCAAAGTAGCAGTTAAAAAAAAGGAAAAAAGAAAAAAGACTCATATATTATAACATAGTCGTATAAATTTGTGAAAATTTTTTGTTATTAAAGTTACCTTTGAACATTTTCAGAAACACATATGAGCTTACGAATCATATAAAATTCAAACTCAGCATTTATACTTATAATCACAACATAAATATAATTGATATGACGTTAGTACCTAATACACATGACATATTATTCAATAAACTTGCACTTGCACGCGTGAACAAACCGTTATCTTTAACGGCACGTAAATCAACGTAATATTATCATACGATCCATAATTTATTTCCGAAAATAGTAAGCACTGTCAATAAAAATCGTTACCGATCATCGGTGCATATGTATACACATGATAAATTGTAATTAATATACGAACTGAACCAACGGTTATCTTGTAGACACTTAATTGTAGAAATGTGCGTATATATATATAATAAATAAAATATGGTGTTGGCAATGAAAACCCGATTGTTTAAAAATTGTAAGGACCCCGTGGTACGATGACAGCCGGACTTTCGGCACTCGTGGCATGAGCCCCAGTCCGAGGATGAGTCGCGGACTCCTTGACTTTCGCGCAGTAAGAGCGCAGTAGTCCGACGAGGGATAGAGCCTCGCAGAGGAACGCGTAGAGGAAGGGATCGAGGGCTGCGCTGAGCAAACTGAGGCCCGTAAAAGCTGTCTGAAGGTAGTGCCAGAGCCCGCCTGGGAGACGCATGTGTTGCTTGCACAGGAGAAACGCCCACGAGGGTAGTCTTCCAGCGAGGAATACCACCATCAGGACGAGGATCACCTTGACAGTGCGCTTTTTGCGTTTTGCGTGGTTGTTCGGTAATGGAATCGGATGTTGTTGCTTCGCGCTGCTGCTGGACACTGAAATCGGTAAAAAATATCTTGAATTGAAAAAAATGTTGTACGGAACGAGGGTTAACAAATACGGGTTTTTTTATTTTCAAAGAAATCATCGCAAGCTTGTGTTTAAAAAATTTCTTGATAAAGTTATGGCATACATTTTATAGTTTTCTTATTCAATCGATCCGGACGATCACAGATACTCAAGCACGGAAAAATAATTTTCACCCAAGTTTTCAAAATCATCGACAGTGCGGAGAAGACCTTTTTTTCATAAAATAATTCGAAAAATATTAATTGTTCGAAATTCATTCTTCCCTATACCTGCAGAAGAGGAGAAGTCCATGCTTTGGGAATCGCTTCCGACGTTCGACCTATCGGTGCGCTGCTGCTGCTGTTTCTGTCGACGACCCCAAATGTTAAGCGCCAGCAGAACGTGCACGAGCAAGAAAACCAAAGCCAATGGCGCGAATATCACGACAAACAGGGCAGTGTAGACGACAGCCGTGTGCTCTTGGTCCGTAGAACACAAGCGACCGCTGAAACTCCAAGAGCGAATTTATTCTCTGAAATGACCGTACACCTCGAGAAAATGGCACTCGAACGATTTTTCATCCAAAACTCACTCGTACACGGTAGAATCCTCTCTGACGACGGTGATCACGTCGATTTCGTATATTCCGACTACGGGGTAAGACACCGCCATGGCAAAGAGCCAGACGAACCCGTTGAAGAATACGGCGTGGAACCACGTGGGCCCTTCGCTTCTCGGGTAATCCGGTATCAGTGCTCTGTAGCTGCAAAACAGTCGAGCCTCACTTGCGATATAGACGCGCGAAATTCTCGCAACAAAAATGATCTCCGACGAAATCGGTGCAGGTAATTTCACTTAAAATTTGCATGTATTGTCAATAAAAAGGGGGTGAATCAATGGAAAGATTACCGATCTACCGCGACGGAGGCCAAAACGAAGGATCCAGCGACGATGGCGCACGTCTGCAGAAAGGGTATGGCGGCGCAACTCCAGCCGGGTAGGGTCCAGAGTAGAGTGGCCGTGCAACTGAGCTTCGCCAGGGTGTGGACCCCCGAGGCGACGAGCAGGACCAGATCCGAGACGGCGAAACTCACGAGGGCGCATCGGTAAAAGGGCTTGAGGAGGGCGAACCTGCCGCCAGGCAGCACGAGGATGCGCCAGAGCACGGCGCCGTTGCCGATCACGCCGGCGATCACCGTCGGCCAGAGCACCAGCTGGAAGACCAATCGCCCGTTGGGGGAGAACACCACGAGGTCGGATTCCAGTGCCAGAGCCAATGGGCGTGCCCCTCGCAGGGACGATGGCGCGATTGGCTTTTGGGCCTGATGAGGCATTTTTTTTTTTTTTTTTCCCCTTTCAGCGGTATTTTTTGTTTCTCATGATGGCGATGAATCGGCGAGTACGCGGCGCTTCTACATTTTGATGGGAAGAGAACGCGGGACTATGTGGACGATAACCAATGCCGATTGCGGCTTTTATACGGAGCCGCTCGGACATTACGTACATACGAACGTGGCTGTCGTTTAATATCAAACTGGACAGATGGTCGCAGGTCGAGTGTTTACGGTTTCGCGAGCTTATTGCTTTTCTTTTTGATACACGCATCATTTTTATTAGCCCATTGGGTTTTATCTATTTGAACTGCTGTTTTATTGCGTGTTGGTCGGTCCGCCTTGGGATGAATGCAATTTTGTTGATTCCCACCAGAGTTTTTGAATTTGCGGATTGAGCGTTTTGGACTTGATGAGTATTCGGCTGGTCCGTTTCGTGGAAAAGAGGGTACAATGAGAAAGACAATAGCGTTTTAGTGTAAAAAAATTTTTTTTTTTTTTAATTTATACAAAAATTTTGGTTGGTTATAAATTACCTTAAAATTAATCTCAAGCTATACGTTTTCGGTGCGATAAATTTTCATCCCTATAGATGTGTACGCACAATTTATTTCGCACTTGTACGTATAAGTGTAAAATCGAATTAAAAAAAAAAAAGGCACGCGATGTGAGTTTGTTAATTCGATTCTCAATGTTATTATAATTATAATGACGTCGATGTACATGTATATGAATATGTAGGTGATAATGTGGGTATAATAAAAATTAGCAATAAATTAAATAATTGACACTCCAATCGGCGATTACTCTTAATCATACTGCACACAAAATTCTTAAGTCTTACGATTTCATCGAATTCCCTTGTATTTGTGTAGTACAACAACGAAGTTTTCATTTGCAGCGTTACAACGCAGCTTCAAAATGAAAAGTCGTTTTGCACGTCGAACACTCCCCGGAAATAGTTGTACCGCGAAAAACACTTTCACACAGACACACATACCTCCTGCGCACACGTACATAATGGCGAATTGCATCGCGTGGCTTTATGTACACAATATAATATCCAACGGAGGGTCAGAATTACTTTACCAAAAATAACGGCATCGCCGAATATATTTCCGTGAAAACTCGTTATCTTTAACGTCCCTTTGCTTTTAAAGAAAAATTTTAGAAAATAATCATACGATCCATAATTTATTTCCGAAAATAGTAAGCACTGTCAATAAAAATCGTTACCGATCATCGGTGCATATGTATACACATGATAAATTGTAATTAATATACGAACTGAACCAACGGTTATCTTGTAGACACTTAATTGTAGAAATGTGCGTATATATATATAATAAATAAAATATGGTGTTGGCAATGAAAACCCGATTGTTTAAAAATTGTAAGGACCCCGTGGTACGATGACAGCCGGACTTTCGGCACTCGTGGCATGAGCCCCAGTCCGAGGATGAGTCGCGGACTCCTTGACTTTCGCGCAGTAAGAGCGCAGTAGTCCGACGAGGGATAGAGCCTCGCAGAGGAACGCGTAGAGGAAGGGATCGAGGGCTGCGCTGAGCAAACNTTAACTCAAAAATTTTACTCAATGTGATTTTAAGATTTTTAAACGGATTAAAAATTATTAGATGCATTAAAAAAACTATTTTCTAAATTCCTTAAAAATTCCATATTATTTAAATAGGACATTCAAATGCATGTTGCTGTGCGTGTGAAATTAATTTAATTAAAATTTTTATTGTAGGCTACAATAAAACATTTTTTCTAGTTATATGACTAAAAAATAAAATTTAGAAAATAGGGGACACTCTAGTATACACGTACATGAAGAATAATATTAACTGTTAGTTTGATTCGGTATTGATAAATATTATAATTTAGTAATTCTATTTTACAATGAAACAATTGTTGACATAAGAATACAAACATAAAGTGTGAACAAAAAAAATGTACTATTGTTAATTGCGTATTAATGTTAAAAGTAAATATGCGTACGAAACAATACATTATATTAATGGGTTATAAATACTTGTTAATTTTGTGTTATGAACATTAGTGCCTGTAATAGTTAATAAAATTTATGTTGGAAGTATAAAAAATTAAGTAACAGCAGCTGTCAGTTTTTCATGTATAGGTAATGAAAGAAGTAATTGGTTTAAAAAATTTTTAAATCATAAGCTAAAATTTTTATTGCAATGTCAAATCTTTGATTTCAAAAAAAAGCTGTTAAAAAAGTATAAAAGCTTTTATCCCCTATAATTCAAATTAACGACAATTTATAAAATAAAAAATAATCCTTCCAACGATATCAGTCTGTGATGATGATGATGACTGTGAAAAACGATCATAGTCATGAATACTATTTATTGTCATCAGCTGCACAAAATACCATAGCATCCTTGGCGCGTTTTTCAATAATACTCGTAATAAAGGAGGCTCTCAGTAGGGGCCAAAAGAGGGTCTTGTGACCTATTTGATTTGAACAAACCCCCAAAAACTTTTTTCTATTTTTTAATGTATTTTAAATAGTATAAAATGAAATTCAAAGCCACTTTGGCTGAAAAAAAAAAACACTATTTGAAAAAAAAAAAAAAAAAAAAAAATTCTTAGTTCAGTGTAACCGATCACTGTAAAATACCCTTCCCCGCAAACGTACAGCTCTGCGCACTCAGCATGGCACCCATATAATCATCACAATACGAACCGAACGGAGGACGGCCATTGTGCAAACTCGCGCTGGCGTTGTTAACGAAGATAAATGAATAGTGTTGTTGTAAAGACGAGAGAAAGAAAGAAAAAGAAAATAAAAATCCTGCGCTACAACAATAAGTACACACTTTTGCAAATGTCGTAATAGCGCGTATGCGCATCCTCTTCCTTTTGCGCGTTGTCTTTTAAAACCCGACCCACGCAACAAGTGATTGGCAAAGACAAAAGCAAACATTCAAATGAAAAAAACACACACACATAGGTATACAAGCACTCCACCTCGACGAGGCATAAGTACACCGGCCGGTAAGCAACAGGGTATACTTACATGAGAGAAAAAAAATAGCGTTTTGCAACCAGCCAATGAGAACGTTTCCTTTCACATTTGTAATACAGCATGACGCGAGTAAATAAGAAAAAGCTCCCTTGCTGCACGGAGGGGGGGGGGGATCAGATACAAACACACGGAGAACCGCAGCCATTTTCAAAGGATGAAATGCTGCACGCCTCGATTTTTCCTCTCTCCGCTCGCTCGCTCGTCCAAAAATCAAGTATATTATAAAGCGAGCACGCGTGGGTACATCAACGTAAGTATACACGTGTAAAATATCCATTACACGCGGTGGAGCAACAAAGACGACGGCGACGGGGAACAATAAGAGAAAGAAGAAGAAAAGCGAATGAGCGAAGGCCCGCGAGCAGTTCAGGGGGATGGGCAGGGCCTCGCGAGCGAGTGGGCCGGGCTTCGGGTGGTCTTGCAGGGCCTGCTGGCGTTCCTGCTGCTGTCGCCGTCGTGGAGGAGGTAGTCACCGGTGCCAAAGATGCCGCGCGAGCCGCTGCCGCTCGTCACCGCTGCGCACCGGGAGGCGCGCTTCGACCGGCACTTGCGCAACGTCCTGTACTCCCACGGCGAGTTTCGCGTAGCTGAGTTCTGCAACACGTTTACCTGTTTTTTTTTTTTTTTTCCTTTCTTTTTTCCTTTTTGTTTTTGTTTTTTTTTTTTTTACTGTTGTATTCTGATTTTGCAATGCGCCTATGCTGTTGCATGATGTGAAAATACAAGATCTCAGTCCCGAGATGTAAGAAAAAAAGAATCACAATGTAATGTAAATGAAAAAAATAATCAAGCAATAATGCCTCACCTAAAGCGCACGCAACGTCACGTCAATTACTAAATCAACTTTGCACAAAAGTTTTCAAATAGCAGGTCGTGCGAAGAAATTCACAGGGTGTAATCGGTTGGGATGAGTTGAAAAAGGATTAAACAATCGAGACGCAAATTTGGGAAATAAAAATGTACATGATGGAGGGAAAAAAAAAAAAAAAACAGACTCACGTCAGTGAAGGGTA